CAGTCTCAGCACCCTAATGTTTATAAACAAAAAAAGTCTCCCTCAATGGAGTGCGAATCAATGTGATTCCTTACGAACTACATGCTTTCTCTTTTGAGGCCTTTCAAATTATTTTTCCAACAGTTTCATTGACTTTTACAGCTGCAAAGTTGTTTCATCAAGTGATACAAGAAAGAACGAAGCACAAAACTTTGCGTCCATACTGGTGGTTGACATGAAACTTTGAATTTACTTCATTTAAGTAATTGCAAAATGTTCATATTTTGTGATGCCTTACATGAAACAAAACAGAAAACGTAAACAAACTCGAGAGTCTGCAGTACAGACTGGAAATCATCTTTAAATGTAATGCTGAGTCAATACAAAATTATGCTATGCAAATTGGTTAAAAAATACCTACATTCACTGCTCTGGTGACAGGTTTGAATTTCATATATTGTTTTGCATAGCAAAATCCAATTCTGACATGTAATATCAAATATTTTGATCTCCATGTTGTCTTTTCTTAAAATGTTTCAAGACACGGACTTCGACATTGGTACAAAAATAATACAAAAGTCAGTTTAAGTTACATATTGTGAGATGCTGAACACAACTCATAATGTACCAGTCTGCAGTTTCTACCCTTAGCACATGATCTTTACAATTGATATGATGACCACAGAAGCCATATATTTTTGTCCTCTACTGGCATCATAACCATAATCCCCGCAGTTGAGAACTCCAACAAATTTCACAGACCAGTGAGAACATTTTCCAAGCTGACACCAAGTTGATGGTCCAAGTTTAATGTCCTTTTTACTGTGTTTGGTTTCAATAGGCTACACTGTACATGTAAGTGCCCTGTGCCATTGTACTGTCTAATCATTGTTTTATCTCCATGTATACTTACAGAATCCGCAAAGCAACACATCCAAAGTTGCATCGTGTGTTTACTGCTCCAACTACAATCCACCTGTTTTTGTCCTGGTCGTAATACTCAATGCTGTTTGTAACACGACCGCCCACAACATAAATGGTGTCATTCACAACTGCCACACCCAGACAACGGCGTCCAGCATTCATTGGTGCTACAGCCTGATCCCACCTGTCCATGTCCGGATCATACATCTCAACACTGTTGCTACAAGACTCTCTATTGTCTGATCCTCCAATGGCATAAAGTTGGTCATTAAGAACGGCCACGCCAAGGCTCCAGCGTGCAGTGCTCATTGATGAGATGGCTTCCCACTGGTTGGCATGCGGGTCGTACCTCTCGGCAGTGTTGAGCGGTGCCCAGAGATGGTCTAAACCTCCTACAGCATATATCTTGCCTTTCACCACAGCAACACCTGCAAGTGCAAATGAAGCAACTTGTAAATAATTCTTCAAATGTACATGCACGGTTTGATTTGAAGGACACATGAAGATATAAAAAAGTTATTAAACACACAATCATCAGATCATTTATTAAATTTTTTAGAAAAATATTGTTTGTGTATCACTCAGTGTCACCAAAGTGAACTGACAACAGGCATATGCATGGCAGTATTGTCATTGGGTCATTGGATTCTGGACTGATAGGTGAGGGGAATGTCATTGAGTTGTGTTCTTGGGAAAGACATACATGTACCAATAAGACTCTTTTCCACACAGGAGATCCCAGGCAGGTACACTCCAAAAATCTGGATGGTTGTGAGACGATTGCTTCTTGAAACCATAGTCCAAACTGAATTTTGATTTGCTAGTTCTTTTTCTCTAAGAATATCAGTTACTGACTTTCAAAGTTAGTAAACTATACAAAATGCCTTGAGCCCCACTGCATGTCTCTTGAACTCTCAAAGGGCTCAAAAAATAGTTTGAGATAGTGAGGATTCAAGATAGCTGACAGTAGATGAATAACAAGACATATCCCTATCCAGAGGAAATTGATATAACTTCCAGATAGTCAGAGAGCTCAAGACAGCATTGGTTTGAGAGTGTAAGCAATCCACGATAATCGATGTAGACACATACATGTACATTCAAGTCGGCATCTACTGTAGCCCTACACATAAGACCATTACCTGGATAGTAACGAGCGTACATCATAGATGGTAGAGACCTCCACATCATGGTTTCTGTATCAAACTGCTTGGCACACATACTGCTATGGCCCCCAACAGCATAGATGTACCCCTCAAACTCACAAACACCAGCCCACTTACACTGCACATCAGGACCTGTAGAGACCTGAATCCAAGCATTGGCGATGGGGTCATACTTGCCGACTTTGTAGCGACTCACAGTGTACAATTCATCGCCAACAGCAACCACCCGAATGTAATCCTCTCTGGACACATGTGCCACAGACATACCAGCCACGACTGTCCACTCCAAGGTGTCCACGTTAAAGCACTGGACACTACTTATTTTCTGCCCATTTGACCAGCCACCTATGACAAAAATCTCCTCCGAAGCCATGCGAGGTCTGACACGGAAATTATCAAGTGCTGACGTTGATTTGCTTTCAAGGGCTGTCTGGTAGCTGATAGCTTCACGAATAAGCTCCTTGCACATCCTATATTCACTGGTGAGTCTCTGAATGGACTTCCCATGCAGATATTGAAGATTCATAAGAGGGAACCTCACATACTGCATGATATCGGCAACATAAGCTTTTCTCTCGTTCATATCATGCGAAATCCACCGCCAGACCGCTTCATAGACCATCTCTTCGGACTGAACTTTCAGTGAGTCATCCATGACCAATTCTTTCAGCTGCTTATATGGCATCTTCTTGAACTCATCCTCCTTGTAAACGTTCGCGAAGTGCCACAGAGCGAATCGGTTGGCGTGTTGACTTAAATCCTCGAGGCAAAAGAGATCAGCGACGAACTGAAGGCCAATACAGTTCGATGGACTCATGTTTCGCCGAAGAAACGTCTCACAGTTATCAACCAAATTTGTTAGTCGCAGTAGGACACATATCCGCAGTATTTCTTCGACGTTGTACACATTAAGTTCGAGTTCTGTTGTGTAAAAGTAATCCACGATCAATTGAAGTGCATCGGCGTCAACCTCTTTTAAGTGGATCTTTTGTTCACTGGCCTCGGAAAAGCCCGAGAGAAACATTGCCCTGAAGTACGGACTACATGCCGCCAAAATAACCCGATGAGCGGTTATTTCTCGTTCGTCGACCACGAGTGTGACATCGGATAACTCTTTTCGCCGCCTCATGCTGTCTAACACCTCTAAAATATCTCTGGGAAGAGATTTTTCGATGACAACAGTTGAGGTGGAATCCATTGTGGCGGGGACGACAAAGCGAAAAGCTAAGATCGACGCTTTTTGTTGTTCGACCTGTTGTTGATACCGGAAGACAAAAGGAGGCCGAGAGTTGGTGTGAATAGAAAGGACTGGAAAAAGGAAATGAATTTATGCATCAGCTAATGCATCAGCTAGACCTTCGCATATTGCCGTTTCCTCAATCTATAACAGTTTCAATAAAGCGTCGAGCGATAACTATGCAGAATATGTAA